AGTAAAAAGCTTTCACACAACATCACATCTCAACTCGAATTAAAAACTCAAATTAGCGAACCGAACGAGATGACTAGAATAAATGGAAAATAATAAATAACAAAAAAACACACACACACTGTATTTGTTATGGACATGCGTCATGTGGGCAACCCCTTATAATATATTGATTGAAGATATATGGGTTCAACTTTCAAGGCGTAACTCCTAGATATGAAGTCAGTGTCAGTGAAGCCATAACTTATTATAACTGGTAACATGTTCGTTTATTTTACCGATTTAAATTTAGAATTAAAATTTTATTATAGTAAAAAGTTCTTAGAAACAGTCATATCTAAAGAGCTGTTTAGTTCGCTGATTCGAGTTTTTAATTCGAGTTTAGATGTGATTTTATGTAAGAATTTTTTACTATAATAAAAAAATTAAATATGAATATTTTTTTAAAAAAATTATTGTAATAAAACTTAAATTCTAAACTCACGGAACAATAATGCACATCCAACCAGACAACCACCGCATGGATTTGAGTTAAACGACCGCACTGATAACTTTCGAAAACCAAGATTTTGGACATAATTGCAATAAACGACAACTTAGACCGTTCGCTTTTATGACTCTGGTCTTAAATTAGGTCAGTTGCCATTACTGTCATACATGATCCCTCACCAGATCATCGCGATTTTCTTCCCTACGTGTTTAAAGTTCAGCACCAAGATAGAAAAATGAATTTTGAGTTGTGTGTATATGGTTGTGAGATTGTTTTTAAAATTACTCTTGATTATTTTTCTGAATGATTGTTTTCTTTTCCTTTCTTTTCTTTTTTTGGAATGATGAATGATTATTTTAGGTATCAGAAAAGAAAAGGTGAAACTTTCATAATTTAGCAAGATGAGTGAATCTTATTTAGAAACAAAATGAAAGAGGATCACAAATATTTGTTGTAATGTCTGATTCTAATAATAAAATTAATTTAATTCTCTGTGATTGGTGTGGTGAAAATACTTTATGAGAATTGGTAATGCAAGTTTGTGAGTGTTGTCATACATTAAAACCACATCAATACCCTATAAGTGCTTCATGTGTTATAAAATTAGAAATGGTATTTGATGGGGCACATATATAATAGAGAGAGAAAGGAGAATGAGAGAAAGAGAAAAGAGAACTAATGTCAGTCTCTTGCATTATTTTATGGTTAAAGAGAATAAATAGCATATTTACTTATACATACATAAATATTATACTTGTTGACAGTGGAATTTCGTCAATAAGACCTTACCGGATTACCCTACGATAGCCCGTTAGATTATCGGTTTGGAACTTATGATTTTACTGAATATGCTGAAATTTGTAGTAGGGTTGCTAGGTTGTGAAGTAAGTGCGATTATACTTATGAAAATAAGAACACACAGGAATTTTATAGTGGTTCACTCTGTTAATCAGAGCTACATCCACTGTATTGTATTTCTCTTGTCTTTGTTCTTACAAGTTCTATACGCGTAAAGGAAAAATCCATCCCTCTCTCTTGGGGGCTCTTCCCTTTTATAGTGGATATTGCATGAGTCTCTGCCCAATGGTATGCGGTTTGGACCATTTGACTGTGTCCTTCATGGGGCCCGCCCACTCGAGTGGCCTATGGCCTCTTTTGTTCAGACCGTAGCCTGCCATTATCTTTTGGACTGTTCACTCATCTAATTTGCCCCCCATTACGGCTCTGTAGATCCTTGTAATAGCTAGTGATCCGTTCCAGGCGATTTTAGAGGGTTGTAATCATTTCATGTGCAACTGACCTTCTCCAAACCCACACGCAACCTTGGGATATTCGGCTGATCTTCTCAGAGGTCTTCCTTGGGACGTGGATCCAGTTGCTTGTGCTCTGCCATCTGCGCCTATGCTAACATCTGCTTTGTCGCGTTATTTTACCCGGGCTGGTCTCGCAGACCTCGACTGTGTATAGGGTCGACGGTCTCGGTCTTCTTATACATTCGGCTCTCATGCCATACAGGAGGGACCAATGAGGCTCAGGCGTTGAGGGCTAAATGACGTGGCAGGCATGAGGCCACGTGTGGCCTGATCGTTATCCGACGTGCCGATGTGAATTTTCCCACACAACAATTCTTATGCATACTTATATGTTCATATGTTATATAAGCTAACAATTTTAATTTTGTAAAAAGTTGTTTTAATAATATATTGTTAAGATTTTTAATTCTAAACATAGAAAATATTTATGTGTCCGTTTAATAAGAGAGATGAATTTGTGAAAGGATGGATGGACATGAAGAAAAGGAGCGGGAAGGAAGGGGTGAAATGTAATTTTACTCAAAATTATTTAGTAGGACAGAAATGAATGATTACTGATATCCTTCTCCTTTGTTTTGTTTGGTATTGAAAAGAAATGAAAGGAGGATGAGTTTTATCAGTAGAAAATTACTATATTGTCCCTACAAAATAATAGATTTTTTTCTCAGAATGTCTATTGATTAATCATTATTATTATTATTATTATTATTATTATTATTATAATTATTATTATTATATTCAATTTTATTCAAATAAAATCTTTAATATTCAAGTACTATATGAGCTTTAAAAACTACATTATATACATGTCCACGCAGTTTATTGTTACCATACACATGCCCAGTCCATTACCATAAAAGGTTCTTTGCCTGTGATAGCTCGCTGTGGACTTTCTTCAAGCAACTTGCGAACTCAGTAGCACCAAACGCAAATTAGTAAAATACCGGAAAAATATAATAATACAGAAAAGAACAAAACAGAGATAGACAAGATCCAGATATGCCGAATTAAGAGAGAGAGAGAGAGAGAGAGAGAGAGCCCACACGAATTTGTAGCAAAAAAAAAAAAAAAGAAAGCAAGATCAATGAATAACCAAAATAAAGAAAAGGAGCAATCCTATAACAAAAGAAACCAGGCGAATTTTCATTGAGAAATTGAAAGAAGACAGAGTAAAAAACTCACAATATCAATAATCTCTCGTGTAGAAACCTCCGCTGAGTGAGCAAAATCTCTGTTTCATACCACCGCCTCACATTTTCATCGATCTCAGGAATATAAATATAAAGGACTGTCGGGAGCAAGACGTTTATGTTCATCTGATAGTTCTGCTTGCTCTTCACGTTCGCCAATCAGAGGATTGCCTTTCCGACCACGATTTCAAAGCCGTTCCGATGTTATCAATTTTTAAGCGATTAAGACAAAACCATAAATGGCAAATACACAAAATGTTTAAAGGTCTAGCTCCTTAATTTGAATTGAGATATGATTTTATATGAGAATTTTTTACTGTAATAAAAAAGATAGATATAACAGTTTCTGAAAACTTTTTACTATAACAAAACTCGAATTCTAAACTCCAATAAGTGAAATGAATGAGTTATTAGTTTAACCAATCTTCCCTTGAGCCGCAAGTAAGAGAGAGCGGAGGTGACAAATTACATGAAATGTAAAACAAAATAAAGATAGGGGTATAAAGGGAAAAAAAGTTGATCGACAGCGGCTAGCTTCATCACATTTTTAATATATAGTAAAAAATAAAACTAGTAAATAGAGCACAAATAAACGACTTTTTAGTAAAAATAAAAAAAATTGAAAAATTGAAAAATAATTATTAGCATTTAAAAAAATGAAAAATGAGAAAACAATTAATTAGGTGAGCAAAATAGTAATTTAAACAATCAAACAACTATCACTCCCTCCATATCCTTTCATGGGAGGAAGGATTGAAAAATGGTGGAACTCGCAAAGAAATCCCTCCTATCTTCCACTCCCTTCCTTAAATTCACCCTACCAAACAATGGAAAGCTACGACCCCTCTTTTAATCTCTCCTAGAGGTAAAAGTTTGAACCACGTTAACCCGACTCTAAAAAGAGGAGGGTCAGCCTATCCCTACTCAAAATTTATAAGGCATTTTTAAGAAAAGTTTTTTTTTTCTTTTTTTTTTAATTTATAAAAAGGCCCACTTGCTGGGGATTTAGGCCGAGCCAGCCCAGCCCAAACACTTAAACTGGCTGAGATCGGGCCAACAATGTCGAGCCTCAAGCTGACCTATTTGAACTTGCCTAAACTTTCACCTCTAATCCCTCCACCCCTTTCCTTCCCTCCCTCAATCCCTCCTACCAAACATAAAAGAAAACTTGATCATTTTCCATCCACTTCATAAAGATAAAGCAAACACTAGAAACGTAATCAATGATTTCTATTTATATCCCTCTACTTTCCTTTCTAATTTCTAAATCACTATATTTTTCCTTACGTTCATTTACTTCATATGAAAATATATGAAAATGAAATCAACGACTGCCGTACTTATTACTTTGAAAAAATAAGACAAATACCATTTTAAATTGCATAAGTCCTGATTTTTATCTTTAGTCTTGATCAATACCCTCTTAATCAAATATTACATTAGTCAAAAGGATAAATCAAGAATAAGAGATAAAAATCTAGACTCATGCACATCTAAGAGTAAGTTATGTAAATTTTTATATTACTTTTCTTCCATTTCGACTTACATTACTTTTTCCATTATATTCCTTTATAGTTTGATAAACGTGCATTTAGAGTTTAGTAACCATGCCCTAAATATCTTTAAAAAAAAACTTTCTTCCCTTTCCCAATATATTGCAATCCAAAAGTTTGACCTGCCAAAACCTACCACCCTTGGTTCCTAAAGAAGTCAAAGGCAGAGGTATTTGTTTTGTGCTCAAGCAGGCCATTGAATGATTCACGGCAACAAGCTCAGTTGTTTCTGCTTTGAGAGTTTCTTCTCTACAAATATTATCTCAAGCTTCACAACATTTATGGACCGCAACAGATCTCGACTTATACTCAAGCACTAAAAATACGAATACGAGTCAATTAATACACAGTCATCAAATTTTAGTTTTGAGTTAAAAAGGCAAGAAAACATGAAGTAAGAAGATTCCAAAGACATAACAAATTGACACATATTTTCAAGTAATATTTCCGGTGAAAGTTGAGGGAAGTTCTGTCCAAAAGAACAGTAGATTTTGCTCAAATTCATCATCTGATGCCAAGGGTGATTCTTCAACCATATGTTGCTTACAGCTTTTAAGTTCTCACAAATTAGCTTAATTCATTCTCAGAACAAGCTAATAAACGAACAAATTCAAACATACATATCTCCTTATCTGATTGTTCATGCTTGTGATGCAAGCAATCAAGTATCAGGTTGAGGCTCAGGAGGTCCTCTTGCTATTGGCACTGCTTCGCTAAAATCAGTTTTGGGCTTTGCATAGTCCACAAAAATAACACGTCCATTCAGTGCCTGCCAATAAGTAACAGCTTGTCATTTTTTTTTTTTTTGCCATCAAAGTCCATCAGAGGAAAAGAAAAGGATTAATTCTATTTTGTCCCCAAACTATAGTCAAATCCTATTTTGATTCCCCGACTTTTAAAATGTCTCACGACGAGTTCTCGAAATGGTGAATGAGAAACAATAAGTACTTTCATAACCTTTCCATTCATCTCTGTTAGGGCATTATGGGCTTCATCTACTGAAGCAAAGGTCACAAATCCAAACCCTTTTGATTTGTCGGACACTTTGTTCATTACAATCTTGGCTGAAAAAACTAACACATTGTTATGCCCCAGATGATTAAAATTTCAACATTTCAACATGTGAAAAGTTTAAGAAAATCACCTTCAACAACTTGACCATATTGGGAAAATGCCTCTGTTAATGCAGTCTCATTAGTGGAAAAGGAAAGTCCTGCGATGGATCCAGAAAAACAACTCTCAGAGATCTTTTTTCCATTTGGAAGATAAAGAGCGAAAAAATTAACCTATTGATATTGGAAGACCCAAAAAATTCTTCCAATGTATCAATTCTGGGTCCAATGAAATTCATAGTTATAGGAAGAAGCCCTATCAATTTTTTCCTTTCAACCATCTTTCAGTTGTTACTACGATATATAAGGACCCCGCTATGACAAATAATACTACACCCTTTATCTTAGATATTGATTTATGTAAACATAGTATAGATGCGCTCAATTGATCCCTTCTCATAATTAGAATATATATATATAACCCTATTCCAGTCTGGTATGTAATAAATTTATAATCATGGAATCGCCCCAATCATTAGATTATCGATTATAAATTCATAACGCTAGCTCTAGTTAAAATCAAATATACAAACTTTTCATAACCTAACAAGAGAGAACAAATTATGAACAAGAAAAAGACCTATAAAGCTATGGTTAAACCTATGAATTATGCAAAATTAGTATATTTGTTGCTAAAGCATGGAAGAATAATAAGCTAAGAAAAGCGATGCTTGATAGTCATTCCTTCAAACCCTTGATATGCTAATTCAGTCAGTCTTTTTTACATGGAGATAACCAACAAAGTTTAAGGATTAAGGACTATAAATTATTGGAGAATGAAATGGAAGAGAGTACCTCCGACGAAAAGCTTAGAAGCTATGCCTCTGCGAGAGATTAGAAGAGCAGGAGGCAGGAGAGAGGAGTATGATAAACCTGTTCTTGGCAATGACCCCACTATCTTTCTCAGCGCCGCCATATTTATATATAGTTATATAATTATATGTATATGTATATATACTGAGAGAGAAGAGAGAGAGAGAGAGAGAGAAGAGAGAGAGAGAGAGATGTCTGGTTCGCGGGAGAGTTATTTCACTATTCAGTTAGGGAGGCTGCGGTGACTATGAAAGTATATTGGTCGAGGGGAAGCAGTGTTACATGCGAAAGGCAGAAAGTAGGAGAAGAAGGCCTCTGGGCCAACCCTGTCATATGGGCTGAACCCCGCCTGTTCTCATGACAAAATGTAGGAAATAGGCCATCTTAACCAAAAAAAAAACTACTACTATTGAAAAAATGGAAAATTTATGGATGAATTTAGACATTTACCTCTTATTCTTAATAAATATTTTTTGATTAGTGTAATTATTTGACTAATAAAATTATAAATTAAAAACAAATTATAAAAATCTTGACACACACTTTTAGAGAGTATTTATCAAAATTACTCAAACTATTAGAAGTTCACAATCCATTTACTTAAGTGTAGAAATTTATAGGCCAATTCAATTTCGAGTAATTTATTTTTCAAATTTACCCTTTTATGTTTATTTGTCTTTCTCTGCCTTCTTTTTGACAAATGTTTATCTATCTTTCTCTGCCTTCTTTTTGACAAACATGTGTTTCTCTCTCTAGACCTCCCATTTCTCCTTTCACTCTCTATCTCTATCTGACTATTTTCTCTCTCCCCCGCCCCACAACGACTGTCTCTCTCCTCCCTCCCAACAGTGACTCTCAATCTCGTCTCGGTTGAGGCCGGAACTGCAAAGTGCAGCCCATGACGACACCGAAATCAGGAACAAGAGATCGTCACGACGCCGGAAATAGTGAAGGGGATCTCCTCCAGCGAGTGGCCATTGGTTGTAAAGAGAGGACGAGAGTATAGCGATGGTAGTGTTGGATCCTTAATTCAACATTAGGCTTATATGTAAATAATTATGTGTTATAGAATGTTATATAAAGTTAAGCCCATTTAAAGTGGTCTACTAAGGTTTGAGTAATTTGAGTTTTAATGTATTTAATAGGGTGTGAGCCTTTAATGTGTAGAGACTTAAAGGTAATTTTTATTTTTTATGATGGTCTAAAATAGAAATACCAAAAGATAACAAGGAAGTTATCTATATATAGTGGTTATAGTCCCCAAATCACACGTGATATTGTATTCTTTTATGACATCCCATCATCAGAGAGAGAGCAAAGAGAAAGTTAAAGGATTCTCTAAGAGAACGTGTTGATCTGGAAGACAAATCGCACAGCTCTAGAGAGTAATTAATTGTCATGGATTCAGTACGCTTTCACTTATTAACCTGTTGATTCTTGGTGATTTAACATGAATGTTTCCTGGATTTTGAGAGATGTTACCGTAAGGCCGCGCCAGCAAGGGTAGCCGCGGCAGTAAAAGGAAAGGCCGCCGCCAAAGAAAAAAAAGAGGACTTTTGTAGTTTATGCCAGCGGCCGCCTTTGCCGCCGCCGGTGTCTGGTCCTACCGGTGCAACCCAACAAGCATACTGCACCTGTAACTGGCGACCAAATAGCTGCCAATTCACCTAGGGGTCGAAGAAGACCCCTAGGTTTTCTTTGATCAGCACAGGCCCAATTGGGCCCGTTACTGAAGAGCAGTTATATGCTAAGACCGCAGCTATATAAAAAAAATTTCAAGCTTTCGGGCCATTAAGGGAACCATGGGCCCAATTGGGCCCGTGACTTAAGAGGATCTGCGGGCTTAGCCCCTAGCCATATAAACAAAAGATTTAAAGGCTTCAGCCCTTTTGGGATGCCACGGGCCTAACTGGGCCCGTGACACAAACAAGCTAAAAGGGCTGGTTTAGGATCCAGGTTGGCTTGACCTGACCCGGTTCAACCCTGACCAAGTCAATGGTTGACTTTGACTTTGACAGTTGACTTTGACTCTTTTTTAAGGTTAATTTTGGTGCAATTTTAAATTTAAATATTGGTATGTTTATATATATTTTGAGATGAATTAATTGAAACAACATGTTGCCAAAGTTACCTCTCTTGTGGAAATTAATTTGTTTTGAAATATAAACGGTTGTTTGCATGTAACTTATGTGAATATTGACCGGCCCAGAGGAAGGTCGATATTCAACATAATTGCATGGGCACATGTGGTAATAAACGCGTGATGATTATTCAGTTTTACATGTAAACAATAAATCGGCCCATAGAAAGAATTATTGTTCGACATGTTCTTATTATCAGTGTTTGATTACTACACCAAGATATCACTTACAAGTTAATATTTTTGTCCAAAGACAAAATATTAATGGAGTGCCCGGTATCTTGAGATAGGGCTTACTTTTAATATTACTGCCAACATCAACTCTATTCCTATGCTAAATGGCACTAACTTCAAGTCATGGCAATAGAACCTTCTAATAGTTCTCGGAGTCATGGATCTAACCTAGCGTACTACACCTCTTACGGATAAGAGTACCTTTGATAAAAAGAGGGATATGAAAAGGTGAGAGAAATCAAATCACATGTGTATGATGATCATGAAGAAGGTTATTCCAAAAGCATTCAGGGGCACAATGTCTGAAAAGATTACTACGGCTAAAGAGTTTCTTGCAGACATTGAAAAAAGGTTTGTCAAGAATGAAAAGGCTAAAATAGGTATGCTCTTGACAAGACTAATTTTAATGAGATATAAAGGCAAAGGTAATATCAGGGAGTACATCATGGATATGTCTCATCTTGCTTTAAAGTTGAAAACACTTAAGCTAGAACTTTCTGAGGACTTTCTAGTGCATTTGGTTCTAATATCTCTTCTAATACAGTTTAGCCAGTTTAAGGTGAGCTACAATTGTCAGAAAGAGACTTAGTCTCTAAATGAGCTCATCTCACATTGTGTTCAGGAAGAGAAAAGTTGAAACAAGATAAGGCAGAAAGTGCTCACATGGCCTCAACCTTTAAGAACAAGGACAAAGGAAACAAAAGGAAGAAGGATAAGAAAGCTGCAGATACGGCACCTCAAAAGAAATATCAAAAGAAACTGGGTCAACCAGAAGGTACTAGTTGTTTCTTCTGTGGAGCTGAAGGGCATAAGAAGAAGCATTGCACTGACTATCACGCATTGCGTTCTAAGAAAGGTATGCTTCTTAATTTAGTTTGTTTTGAGGTTAATTTAACTTCAATACCTAGACACATGTAGTGGATAGATTCTGGTGCAACAACTCACATCAATGTGTCTATGCAGGATTGCCTGAGTTGCTAAAAGCCAAGTGATGGTGAAAGATACATCTATGTCAGCAATGGCAAGACGATTCAAGTTGAGGCAATAGGAAAATTTAGATTATTATTAAAGACTGGATTTTATTTGGATCATAATGAAACATTTATGTACTGTCTTTTAGATGGAATTTGATTTCTATTTCTGCTTTGGTCAAATATGGTATTTTTGTTCATTTGGGAATGAAAAATTTAGTTTGTTTCATGATTCAAAATTGGTTGGTTTCGGTTTTTTGTCTGGTTATGATAATCCTTATTTGATTGATACAATTGCTTCATTTAAAAGATCCATGCAATTAAGTACACGAGGTATAAAGAGAAAATTAACCAATGAGAATTCGGCTGCATTATGGCACATGAGATTAGGTCATTTCGCCAGACGTAGAATAGAAAGACTTGTGTCAGACGAAATTCTAGACCCCTTAAATTGTACTGATTTTGATGTTTGTGTTAACTGTATAAAGGGGAAACAAACTAATAAAAGGATATTTGAAGCCAAGAGGACTTTAGATGTCTTAGAAATTATACATACGGACATTTGTGGGTCATTCACTACGGTTGGTTACAATGGTCAGCAATATTTTATAATGTTCATAGGCGATTATTCCATATATGGGTATATATATCTCATTCATGAAAAGTCACAATCGCTGGATGTGTTAAAAAATTATAAGGTTGAACTTGAGAACCAACTCGGTAAAAGGATAAAGACCGTCAGATCTTACTGTGATGGTGAGTACTATGGTAGATATGATGGTTCATGTGAACAATGTTTAGGACAGTTTGCTAAATTCCTAGAGGAATGTGGTATCGTCCCACAAAACACTATGTCGAGTTTGCCCACTATGAATGATGTTGTTGAAAGACGAAATAAGACGCTTAAAGACATGGTGAGGAGTATGATTTGTCATTCTACCTTACCAGAATCACTTTGGGGAGAAGCGCTTAAAACTGCAGCATATATCCTTAACAGGGTTCCAACTAAAGTGACTGTCAAAACCCCTTATGAACTTTGGACAGGCAAGAAGCCTAGTTTAAAGCACTTGCACATTTGGAGTTGTCCAGCTAGGGCAAGACCTTATAGGCCTAATGAAAAGAAACATGACTCAAAAACTGTGAGTTGTTATTTTATTGGATACTTTGAAAGTTTCAGGGGGTATAAGTTTTATGATCCCACGACTAAGTTGATTTTTGAGTCGAGAAATGCCCAGTTCTTCGAGGATGTTGAGTTTGGGGGGGAGATACGGTTAGGGACTTTGTCTTTAAAGAGGAATATATTGATATTCTCACAGGTGCTATTGGCATTAATCAGGATTCCATTCTTGACTTTGTCCAAGACACAACAGATCAAGACAATGTCAGAGAACCTCATATTCAAGAAATTATTTCAGAAGACCAAACTCTACCACATTAAGAACGTATGCCATTAAAGAGATCCACTAGAGAAAGGAGAAGTATAGTGCCTGATGACTACATTGTATTTCTCCAAGAACATGAGGTTGACATTTGAGTGATGGAAAATGATCCGATCAACTTCTGTCAAGCTATGGAAAGTTCAAACTCTCAGAAGTGGATTGGATTATGTCCATAAAGGACAATGACGTATGGGATCTTATCCCACTATTAGAAGGTGTGAAACTCATTGGTTGCAAATAGATATTTAAGACTAAGAGAGATTTGAAAGGCGATGTGAAGAGGTACAAGGGTCGTCTTGTCGCCAAGGGCTTTACACAGAAAAAATGCATCGACTATAAATAGACTTTCTCTTCGGTTTCTTTAAAAGACTCTTTCAGGACTATAATGGCATTGGTAGTGCATTTCAATCTTGAGTTACATCAAATGGATGTAAAGACAATATTTTTCAATGGTAACATTGATGAGACGTTCTATATGGTACAACCAGAAAACTTTATGTCAGAAGACCCAAAGAATATGGT